GTTCCCAATATGGCTCTATGTCCGCAAAGGCTTGAAACATGGCCTTCAGGGTCCCGTTGAAGCTTTCACACAGTCCATTTGTCTGGGGGTGATAGGGGGTGGTCCTTATGGCCTGCACTCCACAGGTCTGCCAGAGGGACTGAACAATGTCCAACATGAACTGAGTCCCTTGATCTAATAGGATTTTGGCGGGAAGCCCACTGGCATGAAAATGGTAAACATGGCTTCAGCAACTTTGGGTGCTGTGATGCTTGACAGGGCAACTGATTCTGGATAACGAGTAGCACAGTCTACGATGGACAGGATGTACCGCTTTCCAGATTTGCTGGGGCAAGCTAAGGGTCCCAGGATGTCAATAGCTACTAGCTAATGTAGTTGTTGCACAAAAATATATGTATACTGTATTGTAACACCCCCACTCAACAACTACTCCTCATATTATATCCATTTTGGATCTTAGTTCTATAAATCTGTTCCAGTTCATCTCTTCATTGGCAGTTCTCATCTACTTTTGTTTCTGATGGATTGGAAGTCTTTAAATCTCACCCCATAATTCTGGCTCTGGTTTTAATGCTACACAAGCAACATAGAACAGATGTTTGGCTGGCATGCCATTATTGCTTCTAGTGGATTTCCTGATTGAAGGCTTTTGTGGCTGGGTTTCTTTTTTTACAGTGTTTGGATTGTTTGCATTAATTTGTATTTCTGAGTCACTTTGTTGCTTATCTTCATGTGACTGATGTGGAATTTCCCTCAGTTTGAAGTGTTTGTGTTAATTCGTGAAATTTTGAACACACTGAATTTTGACACAATTACACTTTTCCTGATGGTTACCTTGTTTGTGTCTTGGTTTAGAATTCTGTATCCCTTTTGAGATTCACTGTATCACACAAGTACACCTTCCTTTACGCAAGCATCCCATTTTGTATGTTTTTTTTTTTTTAACCACTTGCCTACCAGGCACTTTTACCGCCTTCGTGCCCAGACCAATTTTCAGCTTTCAGTGCTGTAGCACTTTGACAATTGTGCGGTCAAGCAACATTGTACCCATATGAAATGTTTATCATATTTTTCACACAAATAGAGATTTCTTTTGGTGGTATTTAATCGCCACTGGTTGTTTAATTTTTTTGCACTATAAACAAAAAAAAGAACAAAAAATTTGAAAAAAAGAGCTTTTCTTTGTTTCTATTGCAAAATGTTGAAAACAGGTAATTTGTCTCCTTCACTGATGTGCGTTGATGAGGCTGCACTGATAGGCAGCACTGATGGGCACCGATGAGGTGGACTGGATAGGCAAAACTGATGGGCACTGATAAACTGCACTGATGAGGTGGCACTGATGAGGCAGCACTAGTGGGCATTGATGAGGAGGCACTGATGATGCTGTACTGATATGCAGCAATTAGAGATGAGCGAAGTATTCAAAAATTCGATTCGGCTGATTCGGCGAATTCGAGGAATAAATTCGATTCGATGCGAATATATTCGCTGCGAATTTAACTTATAAAAAGGGTTTCTAGGCTTCAGAGAGCCTTTATATTAGTGCAGAACACTGTACCTTTAATTTAAATGCCCTTGGAGTCTGCTGGGGAAGAGAAATAATACTGTCAGTCAGTATGACAGGAGACCTGAAAGTGGCACATGGCAGAGTGTGGCGATGGAGACAGCAGCAATGGGAGGCCGTACAGGGACCCATGAGACACTCTGGACCTGGACCTGGCAGCATGAGGAGGCGGTACGGGGCCCCATGGCAGATTACGGGCCTGGCAGCAGCAATGGGAGGCCCGTAATCTGCCAGCACCCTATGACAAAATGGAACCCACCAACAGTGTAAGGAGACCTGAAAGTGGCACATGGCAGAGTCTGGCGATGAAGTCAGCAGCAATGGGAGGCCGTACAGGGACCCATGACACACTCTGGACCTGGCAGCAGCAAGGAGGAGGCGGTACAGGGGCCCATGGCAGAGTGGCGAAGCGTAAGCAGCTTAAATTGAAGGCCATACAGAGGCCTATGTTAAAAAAATAACATGTTTGGGGCATGATTCATGGCGGATTTAGTCAGTTGTGTCAGGAACTGGTGGTTTGAAATCCAGACTAATCCACGCCTGATTCATTTTCACAAACGTGAGTCTCTCCACACTTTGGGTGGACAGTCGTGTCCTCCGCGGAGTTACAATACCTCCTGCCGCACTAAACACGCGCTCCGATGCCACGCTACTGGCCGGGCATGACAGCCTTTCAAGGGCAAATTCAGCTAGTTGGGGCCAAAGGTCAAGTTTCGTTGCCCAGTAGTCAAGGGGATTGTCTACCTCGGTTGGCAGGGTGCTGTCCAAGTAGGCCCGAGCCTGTTGTTTGAGGTCCTGCTCCAGGTCCACCTGATGCTGCTGCTGCTGCGGCTGGTTAGTAGTTTCCTCACTGCGCTGGTGAAGAAAGCTACTCATCATCGACTGCAGACTGAGGCAGCTGCTGCTGGTGGAGCTGCCACTGCTCCTACCACCCCACCCCCTCCCCTGCTGCCATGGCAGCGGAACGCGAGCGCACAGGGCCCACAGTGTCTGAGGATGGACGTTGGCGCAGAAAGGCAGAGACCAACTGACTACATAGGTGGTTTTTATAGTACGTTATTTTGGCCTCCCTCTCAGCAGGTGTGAAAAAGGCCACCATTTTTGAACGGTAGCGAGGGTCCAACAAGGTGGACAGCCAAAAGTCATCCCTCTGTCTGATGGTTATTATTCGGCTGTCGCTACGCAAGCAACCGAGCATGCTATGGGCCATTTGTGCCAAGGAATGCGAGGGACTCCCTGCCTCCATCTCCCACAGCATACTGCCACGGTGCGTCTGGGTCCTCTGTCTCCTCCTCCTCCTCCTCTACCAGATGCTCCTGCTCCTCCACTCCTGTCCGCTGAGTGGAAAAACCACCCATTTCACTCATAATTCCTGAGCACCAATGTCCTCCTCTACCTCCTCCTCTTCTTCCTGTCCTGCCCCCACAGGGGTCATGTGGCGTTGAGATCTGTGCGCCACGTCTACCGCACCCTGACCAGCCATTGTTAACAGCATTTGTTCCAGGACGTGCAACAGAGGAATGACGTCGTTCATCCCATAGTCCTGCCGACTCACGAATAGCGTGGCCTCCTCAAAGGGCCTGAGCAAGCGGCAGGTGTCACGCATGAGCTGCCAATGGCTGACATCTAAGTTACACAGGGGAGTACCTTTATCCGCTTGTAACATCAGGAAATCGGTGATGGCCTTTCGCTGTTTCGTAAAGGCGGTCTAACATATGTAGGGTTGAATTCCACCTTGTTGCAACGTCACAGCATGAGGAGTCGGTACGGGGGCCCATGGCAGATTACGGGCCTGGCAGCAGCAATGGGAGGCCCGTAATCTGCCAGCACCCTATGACAAAATGGAACACACCAGCAGTGTGAGGAGACCTGAAAGTGGCACATGGCAGAGTGTGGCGATGGAGACAGCAGCAATGGGAGGCCGTACAGGGACCCATGAGAGACTCTGGACCTGGCAGCAGCATGAGGAGGCGGTACAGGGGCCCATGGCAGATTACGGGCCTGGCAGCAGCAATGGGAGGCCCGTAATCTGCCAGCACCCTATGACAAAATGGAACACACCAGCAGTGTGAGGAGACCTGAAAGTGGCACATGGCAGAGTGTGGCGATGGAGACAGCAGCAATGGGAGGCCGTACAGGGACCCATGAGAGACTCTGGACCTGGCAGCAGCATGAGGAGGCGGTACGGGGGCCCATGGCAGATTACGGGCCTGGCAGCAGCAATGGGAGGCCCGTAATCTGCCAGCACCCTATGACAAAATGGAACACACCAGCAGTGTGAGGAGACCTGAAAGTGGCACATGGCAGAGTGTGGCGATGGAGACAGCAGCAATGGGAGGCCGTACAGGGACCCATGAGAGACTCTGGACCTGGCAGCAGCATGAGGAGGCGGTACAGGGGCCCATGGCAGATTACGGGCCTGGCAGCAGCAATGGGAGGCCCGTAATCTGCCAGCACCCTATGACAAAATGGAACACACCAGCAGTGTGAGGAGACCTGAAAGTGGCACATGGCAGAGTGTGGCGATGGAGACAGCAGCAATGGGAGGCCGTACAGGGACCCATGAGAGACTCTGGACCTGGCAGCAGCATGAGGAGGGCGGTACAGGGGCCCATGGCAGATTACGGGCCTGGCAGCAGCAATGGGAGGCCCGTAATCTGCCAGCACCCTATGACAAAATGGAACACACCAGCAGTGTGAGGAGACCTGAAAGTGGCACATGGCAGAGTGTGGCGATGGAGACAGCAGCAATGGGAGGCCGTACAGGGACCCATGAGAGACTCTGGACCTGGCAGCAGCATGAGGAGGCGGTACAGGGGCCCATGGCAGATTACGGGCCTGGCAGCAGCAATGGGGCCCGTAATCTGCCAGCACCCTATGACAAAATGGAACACACCAGCAGTGTGAGGAGACCTGAAAGTGGCACATGGCAGAGTGTGGCGATGGAGACAGCAGCAGCAATGGGAGGCCGTACAGGGACCCATGAGAGACTCTGGACCTGGCAGCAGCATGAGGAGGCGGTACAGGGGCCCATGGCAGATTACGGGCCTGGCAGCAGCAATGGGAGGCCCGTAATCTGCCAGCACCCTATGACAAAATGGAACACACAGCAGTGTGAGGAGACCTGAAAGTGGCACATGGCAGAGTGTGGCGATGGAGACAGCAGCAATGGGAGGCCGTACAGGGACCCATGAGAGACTCTGGACCTGGCAGCAGCATGAGGAGGCGGTACGGGGGCCCATGGCAGATTACGGGCCTGGCAGCAGCAATGGGAGGCCCGTAATCTGCCAGCACCCTATGACAAAATGGAACACACCAGCAGTGTGAGGAGACCTGAAAGTGGCACATGGCAGAGTGTGGCGATGGAGACAGCAGCAATGGGAGGCCGTACAGGGACCCATGAGAGACTCTGGACCTGGCAGCAGCATGAGGAGGCGGTACAGGGGGCCCATGGCAGATTACGGGCCTGGCAGCAGCAATGGGAGGCCCGTAATCTGCCAGCACCCTATGACAAAATGGAACACACACCAGCAGTGTGAGGAGACCTGAAAGTGGCACATGGCAGAGTGTGGCGATGGAGACAGCAGCAATGGGAGGCCGTACAGGGACCCATGAGAGACTCTGGACCTGGCAGCAGCATGAGGAGGCGGTACAGGGGCCCATGGCAGATTACCTGGCAGCAGCAATGGGCCCGCAATCTGCCAGCACCCTATGACAAAAAATGAGGCCCCAGTAATGGGAGCCCTGAAGCACCCTATGACAAAATGGAACACACCAGCAGTGTGAGGAGACCTGAAAGTGGCACATGGCAGAGTGTGGCGATGGAGACAGCAGCAGCAGCAATGGAGGCCTGCAATGGGAGGCCCCGTAAGGGGCCCTATGACAAAATGGACCCTGCCAGCAGCATGGGAGGCCAGCACCCTATGACAACAGGGACCCATGAGAGACTCTGGACCTGGCAGCAGCATGAGGCAGCAGCATGAGGAGGCGGTACAGGGACCCATGGGGACCCATGGCAGCAGATTACGGGCCTGGCAGCAGCAATGGGAGGCCCGTAATCTGCCAGCACCCTATGACAAAATGGAACACACCAGCAGTGTGAGGAGACCTGAAAGTGGCACATGGCAGAGTGTGGCGATGGAGACAGCAGCAATGGGAGGCCGTACAGGGACCCATGAGAGACTCTGGACCTGGCAGCAGCATGAGGAGGCGGTACAGGGGCCCATGGCAGATTACGGGCCTGGCAGCAGCAATGGGAGGCCCGTAATCTGCCAGCACCCTATGACAAAAAATGGAACACACCAGCAGTGTGAGGAGACCTGAAAGTGGCACATGTTTGGGGCATGATTCATGGCGGATTTAGTCAGTTGTGTCAGGAACTGGTGGTTTGAAATCCAGACTAATCCACGCCTGATTCATTTTCACAAACGTGAGTCTCTCCACACTTTGGGTGGACAGTCGTGTCCTCCGCGGAGTTACAATACCTCCTGCCGCACTAAACACGCGCTCCGATGCCACGCTACTGGCCGGGCATGACAGCCTTTCAAGGGCAAATTCAGCTAGTTGGGGGCAAAGGTCAAGTTTCGTTGCCCAGTAGTCAAGGGGATTGTCTACCTCGGTTGGCAGGGTGCTGTCCAAGTAGGCCCAAGCCTGTTGTTTGAGGTCCTGCTCCAGGTCCACCTGATGCTGCTGCTGCTGCTGGCTGGTTAGTAGTTTCCTCACTGCGCTGGTGAAGAAAGCTACTCATCATCGACTGCAGACTGAGGCAGCCGCTGCTGGTGGAGCTGCCACTGCTCCTACCACCCCACCCCTCCCCTGCTGCCATGGCAGCGGAACGCGAGCGCACAGGGCCCACAGTGTCTGAGGATGGACGTTGGCGCAGAAAGGCAGAGACCAACTGACTACATAGGTGGTTTTTATAGTACGTTATTTTGGCCTCCCTCTCAGCAGGTGTGAAAAAGGCCACCATTTTTGAACGGTAGCGAGGGTCCAACAAGGTGGACAGCCAAAAGTCATCCCTCTGTCTGATGGTTATTATTCGGCTGTCGCTACGCAAGCAACCGAGCATGCTATGGGCCATTTGTGCCAAGGAATGCGAGGGACTCCCTGCCTCCATCTCCACAGCATACTGCCACGGTGCGTCTGGGTCCTCTGTCTCCTCCTCCTCCTCCTCTACCAGATGCTCCTGCTCCTCCACTCCTGTCCGCTGAGTGGAAAAACCACCCATTTCACTCAATAATTCCTGAGCACCAATGTCCTCCTCTACCTCCTCCTCTTCTTCCTGTCCTGCCCCCACAGGGGTCATGTGGCGTTGAGATCTGTGCGCCACGTCTACCGCACCCTGACCAGCCATTGTTAACAGCATTTGTTCCAGGACGTGCAACAGAGGAATGACGTCGTTCATCCCATAGTCCTGCCGACTCACGAATAGCGTGGCCTCCTCAAAGGGCCTGAGCAAGCGGCAGGTGTCACGCATGAGCTGCCAATGGCTGACATCGAAGTTACACAGGGGAGTACCTTTATCCGCTTGTAACATCAGGAAATCGGTGATGGCCTTTCGCTGTTCGTAAAGGCGGTCTAACATGTGTAGGGTTGAATTCCACCTTGTTGCAACGTCGCAGATCAGGCGATGCTGTGGAATTCCGTTCTGCCGCTGCAGCTCAAGGAGGGTGTGCTTTGCGGTGTAGGAATGGCTGAAATGCATGCAAAGTTTACGTGACATTTTAAGGATGTCTTGCAGTGGGATGGTGGATTTTAGGAACCGCTTGACAACCAGATTGAACACGTGAGCCATGCATGGCGCATGGCACAACCTTCCTTGACGCAGAGCAGACACCATGTTCTTTCCCCGTTGTCGGTCAACATGGTTCCGATTTTCAGTTTGCGCGGAGACAGCCATCTGTCGATTTCTCTGTTCATTACACTCAGAAGTTCCTCCCCTGTGTGACTACGTTCGCCAAGGCATACCAGGTGCAGCACAGCGTGACACCGTTGCGCCCTGCACATGTGATATGCCGGTCGGGTAATGGGACTTGGCACGGGGGTGGCGGCTGAGGACACGGCGGAAGAAGAGGTGGTAGAGGCGGACATCTTTGCCGGACCAAGGACGTGCAAACGTGGAGGCAAAAGCGGCGTGACCTGTCCAAGTTGCTGGTGCGGCTGTGCCGGCACCACGTTCACCCAGTGGGCCGTAAATGACATGTACTGTCCCTGACCGTAGTTACAGCTCCACACGTCGGCGCTGCCGTGCACTTTGGCAGAGACCGACATGCTCAAAGACTGGCCCACCATCTCTTCTACATGTGAATGCAGGGCTGGCACTGCCTTTTTGGCGAAGAAATGCCGGCTTGGCACTCTCCACCGCGGCGCGGCACAAGCCATCATTTCTCGGAAAGGTGCTGAGTCCACCACTTGGAAAGGGAGGGACTGCAGCACCAGCAACTTGACAGGAGGACGTTCAGCTTTTGCACCGTCGGGTGCGTGCTCGCAAACTGTTGTCTCTTGGAAACGGATTCCAAGAAAGACTGCTGACGGAATCCGTGAAGAGGAGTAGCAGGAGAAGGAGCATCTGAACGAGCGGAAGATGCCAACGAGCGACAACTCCCCTCAGCAGAGGTGTTGGAGCCTTGACTGGCTGATAGAGGGCGATTGACGTCGGGTGACGGAGCAAGTAACGGAGCGGGTGATGGAGCGGGGGCTGGGGCAGGCAGAACCGCCGTATCTTTATCACGGTTTTCCCAGGCCACCAAATGGCGACGCTGCATATGCTGACGCAACGCTGTAGTCCCAACATGGGCCCCCTGGCCACGCTTGACTTTCTGGCCACATAGTCGACATACGGCTACGTTTACTTCCTCGGGCGGCTTGACGAAAAAATTGCCACACCGCCGAGTAGGAAACTTTGCCCCCGCTACTCCTCACTGGCTGACTGCTACTTCCTCCGTGCACACCGGCACCACTACTGGCCGTGGTGGTAGGCTGCAGTGGAGCTGGTGCTCTACTCCGTGGCCGTTTGCCTCCACTGACACTGCTGCGACCCTGCTGCCCTCCTGGGCAACCCACCGACTGTTTTGCTCGCTGCCAAGCTGCACCCTCTTCTCCTGATGATGCGGAAGCAATAGCCTGATGACGACGAGGCTGCCAAGTGCGATCAGCCTCATCATCATCAATTAGGGTCCTCCGCCTCACTACTAGCCCCCTCGGCTGCGTGTGGGGGTCAGGAGACAGACCTGTCTCTAGACCGGCTACCGAGCCACTCTCCTCGCCAGTACTTCTTCGCCTGGCTGCTGAAGAGGCGGATGTCTCCCCCCGTTCCTGACCGCCCTCTGTTAGCTCTTCCTCACTGTACAGTGGGGCTGAGCCCACAGCATGCGATACTTCGCTTGGTGAGGGAACACCAAAGGACAGGGGCAGGTAGAGGACACGTGATTTCAGTGGGCTTGCTCCCGGGCCATGCCAACTAACGGTTGTGTCTGACGTACCCACCGACCGTTGGCTGTAGGTGTCAGAGGTGACCTGGGAAGAAGGAAGACGACCGAGCCAACCAATCGATGACGGCAGGGTTGTCGGTGGAGACACGACCGCTGGATGACACCGGGAGCACTGGCCTCTGGCTGCGACTAGTGCTGCCTCGACCCCTTCCTCTGCTGCCACGTCTGCTCGCTCCTAAACATTGCCTTCTGCCTCCTCTGCCACTCCTCTGCATGTTGTCTGACATACTCTTTAATTCAACGATTCTGTGTCCCCTGAGTAACAATTCTGTGTCCCCCTGAGTAACAATTCTGTGTCCCTGAGTAACAATTCTGTGTCCCCTGAGTAACAATTCTGTGTCCCTGAGTAACAATTCTGTGTCCCTCAGTAACAATTCTGTGTCCCTCAGTAACAATTCTGTGTCCCTGAGTAACAATTCTGTGTCCCTGAGTAACAATTCTGTGTCCCTCAGTAACAATTCTGTGTCCCTCTGTAACAATTCTGTGTCCCTCAGTAACAATTCTGTGTCCCTCAGTAACAATTCTGTGTCCCTGAGTAACAATTCTGTGTCTGTCCCTGAGTAACAATTCTGTGTCCCTCAGTAACAATTCTGTGTCCCTGAGTAACAATTCTGTGTCCCTGAGTAACAATTCTGTGTCCCTCAGTAACAATTCTGTGTCTGTCCCTGAGTAACAATTCTGTAACAATCTGTGTGTCCCTGAGTAACAATTCTGTGTCCCTGAGTAACAATTCTGTGTGTGTCCCTCCCTAACAATTCTGTGTCCCTCAGTAACAATTCTGTGTCCCCTCAGTAACAATTCTGTGTCCCTGAGTAACAATTCTGTGTCCCTCAGTTCTGTGTCCCTGAGTAACAATTCTGTGTCCCCCCTCAGTAACAATTCTGTGTCCCCTGAGTAACAATTCTGTGTCCCTCAGTAACAATTCTGTGTCTGTCCCTCAGTAAACAATTCTGTGTCCCTGAGTAACAAATTCTGTGTCCCTAAGTAACAATTCTGTGTCCCTGAGTAACAATTCTGTGTCCCTCAGTAACAATTCTGTGTCCCTCAGTAACAATTCTGTGTCCCTCAGTAACAATTCTGTGTCTGTCCCTGAGTAACAATTCTGTGTCTGTCCCTAACAGTAACCCTCAGTAATTCTGTGTCTCCCTCAGTAACAATTCTGTGTCCCTGAGTAACAATTCTGTGTCCCTCAGTAACAATTCTGTGTCCCTCAGTAACAATTCTGTGTCCCTCAGTAACAATTCTGTGTCCCTCAGTAACAATTCTGTGTCCCTGAGTAACAATTCTGTGTCCCTCAGTAACAATTCTGTGTCCCCCAGTAAGTAACAATTCTGTGTCCCTCAGTAACAATTCTGTGTCCCTCAGTAACAATTCTGTGTCCCTCAGTAACAATTCTGTGTCCCTCAGTAACAATTCTGTGTCTGTCCCTGAGTAACAATTCTGTGTCCCCTGAGTAACAATTCTGTGTCCCTGAGTAACAATTCTGTGTCCCTCAGTAACAATTCTGTGTCCCTCAGTAACAATTCTGTGTCCCCTGAGTAACAATTCTGTGTCCCTGAGTAACAATTCTGTGTCCCTCAGTAACAATTCTGTGTCCCTCAGTAACAATTCTGTGTCCCTCAGTAACAATTCTGTGTCCCTCAGTAACAATTCTGTGTCCCTCAGTAACAATTCTGTGTCTGTCCCTGAGTAACAATTCTGTGTCTGTCCCTGAG